AAAAAAAAAAAAACCATTATAAAGCCCCAGATGTGTGTATTTTCTGTGCAGGAAAGGGACCTCGGCCTCAGCTTCTCACGTGCCAAAGAAGCTGCTGTTGGAGACGATGATGTCATAAGTGATCAGGAATGTCAGAAGCAGTGATGTTTTTCACTTCCCGGGTGCAAGCTGTAACTAGGTTTCCTTTTCCAACCAGCTGGGCCCAGGGCTGGGGACGGGCAGGCCGGGCGGGGCTGGCGAGGCGCGTGCGCGAGCCCATCACCCGCTTCCGGAAGCGAGTGCCACTGCATTGCCTCCTCTGGAGCTGCCAGGGGACACGGCGTTCCACCGGGGTGCCGCAAAACTGACACGCATCCATTAAAAGCAAAAGTTAATTATTTTTGATGGATGTCTCTCCCTTTCAGCTTATTTTTATGTTTTTGCTTTCTGACGGAGAGCTTTGCAACGCGTACTGCACACTCCCACGTCTTTGTAAAGCCCGCAGCGAGGGCGATTTCACCTTTTTCTTTGTGACTCAGGGCTGTTAGCATGAGGATTCATCAGGAAGATGAATCAGGGTTTGAAATGAAGCCTGAAGACGTGGAGAAAGTGTAGGGTAGATGTCCCAGCACTTTGAGGCTTTCTACTGTTGGGATTTTGTAGTTCTGAAGGGCTGGGGCCGTGTCCACGTTGTTCCCCGAACCACTGACGGACCACACACAGCCTGGCACATAGTAGGCGTTCAATCAGCAGCGAGTGAATACATTCTCCTGTAAGTGCCCTCCTGTTAGCTGCCACCTCTCTCTCCTGTGACGGTGCCACCACCCCTGTGGCATCCCCCCAGTGAGAACCAGAAAGACTTAAGCTCACTGGAACTGTGGCAAAACCCAACGATTGTTTTAAGCCAGAGGTCTGCATACACACACCTAAGAGAATCCTTTAAAGAGCCAAGTACGTTCTTGGCTCCCTTGTAAACTGTCAGCTGACCGTATACGTAAAGGTTTATTTCTGGGCTCTCTACTCTGTTCCATGGGTCTAAGTGTCTATTTTTATGCCAATATCATGCTTTTTGATTACTACAGCTTTCTAGTATCGTGTGAAATCAGGGAATGTGATGCCTCCAGCTTTGTTCTTTCACAGGACCGCTCTGGCTACTCAAGGTCTTTTGTGGCTCCAAATACACTTTAGGACTGTTTTTTTCTTTTTCCTAATTCTGTGAAAGATGCCATCGGAATTTTGATAGAGGTTGCACTGAATTTACACGTGGACATTTTGGGTAACATGGACATTTTAACAATATTAATTCTTCTCAGTGGGGAAAGGAAAGTCTCTTTAATACACGGTGTTGGGAAAACTGGACAGCCCACATGCAGAGGAATGAAACCGGACCCCTAGCTTACACCAGTCACAAAAATTAACTCAAAAACGGGGTGCCCGGGTGGCTCAGTTGGTTGAGCGTCCGACTCTTGGTTTGGGCTCCGGTCATGATCTCACGGTTCATGAGTCGGAGCCCCGCACGTCAGCCTCTGCGCTGACATCGTGGAGCCTGCTTGGGATTCTTGCTCTCTTTCTCCCTCTGCCCCTCCCCGACGTGCGCACGCTCTCTCTCCAAATAAATAAATAAACTTAAAAAATCGAATCAGCTGGAAATCTAAAGGAGAACAACGAAAAAAAAAATTAAAGACTTAATCGTAGGACCCTAACTTGTCAAACTCCTGGAAGAAAACATAGGGACAAGCTTTTTTTTTTTTTTTTTTTTT